ATATATATATATATATATATATATATATATATATATAAAAATAAAAATAAAAATACACACTCATATGTACATGTGTTTTTGTCCATGTATGCAAGCCTGCCATCTCAGGGGGACAACTGGAGAAGTTGTCCCAGCCCCAATAGAAGGCCTATTTGGGAGGGGTTGCACGTCATGGAGTTGAAGTAATTCTGTTCCTGGGCCAGGAATTATGCACAGAGAGCCTGTGTGTGCGCACATCTGTGTGCTTTCACATACATGTGTTGCACTGTGTGTTTAGTGCAAGCAGTCCCAGTTTACTTATATTCTTGTAGGGTATTGACATCTAGCCACTCTCACAGAGTCACACAGGACAGAAGTATTGGGACACCTGGCCATTACACCGACAGGATATTTTATGACATTCCATTGTACATCCATAGGCATCAATCTGGAGTCAGTCCCCCATTTGCAGCTATGACAGCTGCCACTCTTCTGGGAAGGCTTTCCACAAGATTCATCCAGAAGAGCATTTGTGCGGTCAGGCACTGATGTTGGATGTGAAAGCCTACCTCACAATCTCCATTTTAGTTCATCCCAAAGGTGTTTGATGGGGAGGAAGTCAAGGCTCTGTGTGGGCCAGTCAAGTTCTTCCACACTAAACTCACCCAACTATGTCTTTATGGACCTTGTTTTGTGCACTGGGGCACAGTCATGCTGGAGCAGAAAAGGGCCTTCCCCAAAATGTACCCACAAAGTTGGAAGCAGAGAATTGTCCAAAATATCTTTGTATGCTGAAGCATTAAGAACTCCCTAAGGGGCCAAGCCCAACTCCTGAAAAGCCCCATACCATTATCCCTCCTTCACCAAACTTTACCGTTGGCACAATGCAGTCAAGCAGGTAATGTTCTCCTGGCATCTGCCAAATCTAGACAGGTACAGAAAGTGTTTATAAACCTGACTGCATGGCTAGGTGCTTGATCTTATACACCTGTGGCTATGGGTCTGAAAGAAGCAACTGAATTCAGTGACTGAGCTGTGTCCCAATACTTTTGTCCATATAGTGTAGACCTAGTGGTGCACTGACATGGATATTTTGACAGATACCAATGACCAATATATTTTTGTCTAATATCGCAGAGCAGCAAGGTGGTGCGATGGTTAGCACTGTTACCTCACACCTCTGGGACCAGGGGTTCAAGTTTCCGCCGGGGTTCCATGTGTGTGTCATCGTGGGGTTTCCTCTGGGTGCTCCGGGTTCCCCCTACACTCCAAAAACATGCTAATTAGAATTACCGAATCGCTTATCCCCCAACGGTGTGCTTCTGTAAGTGGATGGTGTGTGTGTGTGTGCCCTGTGATGGGATGGCACCCTGTCCTGGGTTGTTCCCTGCCTTTGGCCTGTAACCTCTGGAATAGGCCTTGGACCCCCCACCACCCTGAATAGAGCAAGCAGTTTCAAAAAATGGGTGGATGGATGGTTCGCTGATGCCGATAACTGGCTAACCTCTGGTCCACTTGGGACCACTTTTAAGTAGAGGTGCCACCAGTCCCGGATTTTATTGTCTCATTTTGAAACAATATGATACACGATTCCTGTATTTTTGGACCTTGAGATCAATTTTCTCCAACCCCCACCCCCTCAGCAAATTTTATCATTGGGGACTTAGGGGGGTAGGGGATGATGTCTCTTACTTGTGGCAGCCTCACTTCTAAGTGATGAATGAGGTAACAAAATCCCTCATCCTCCGCAATGGAAAATGAGTGATTGTCCAGTGCAGTAATCTCCATTATTTTTGTAGCTATGTCTTTAGCTCTAGTGCTTCTAATTTTTAATCTTAATAAAGTTTAAATAAATATTCATGAATATCAACTGATATGTTAACTGTGATATCATACATCTCTGTAAACCAAGTGACAGGAGGCAGGAAAAGGAGCTTTGCATTGAAACTTTCTCTTTCATTCGCTGCTTGTTTCTGTATCTGTTTTACTTTACCTTGCTGTCCAGTAACTACAGGGTAAAATCTACCTCGGTAAACCTTTTTAGACCTTGTAAAGATGGCTGCATGACTTTGCAGTCCGAGTCCTGAGACAGGCCACAGTCAGGGTGTTTGATGTTTGGCAGAGTCTAAAACCAGGCTTTGCTGCTTTGAGGCTGTTTGGTGCTTCAGAGCTGCCGGTTTGTGGAGGTGACAGGTGAAATGTCTTTTTTTTTTTTCTCCCTCTTTCTACATTTTTATATGTTGGTGTTCCATACCCCACCACCACCACCACCACCACCACCGCCACCACTTATTTATAGTTGCAGTACATTTCTGTGAAGCACAAGAATCTCTTAGGCTTTCCCTGCACACACTTAATTATCCCTGGAAACACACAGTCAGGGCGCACGGAAAGCAGCCCCCCTGAGCAGAAACTCTGTCTGCTTATTTATATCCCCCCGGGGCTGATTCCAGTGCTATTACCTTTACCAGAGCTCGATCCACAGTAAAAAAAAAAATAAAATAAAGGCTGTGCCAATGGCCACAGTGTTCCTGACAAAGTGAAGCATGTCACAGAGGAACAGCTTTATTAAAGCCCAAATCTTATTATAGGTGCCCGGTTTTGTTAGGCTTTCTGCTGTTCAGAGCCATTTTCTGGCATTTTCCTCTTTTAGTCCACTCATCGTCTGTCCTGTAATATAAATGCTTACCTTTTTTCACACTAGTTCTTTTCATCCCACCCTATTTGCAGAGTGTTCTTTGGGCCTCCGGGGAAACCAGCCGCAGTCAGCCCCTAACCGCGTGGGCCGAGAGGGACTCTGCAGCGTGCCCTCTCATACCGGTTATGTGATCCACATACACATTTCAGCTTTGTCGCAGGGCTCTGCCGTAAGACAAACACCGGCCCGATAAACGTGTGAGCGCACTCCCGACCACAGGCCGTCGACCATGCGGCTGCTGCCGCAGCCCAGAGTGGGGGGGACTTTCTGGACTTGTGGGCCCTCCTGGACTGGCTGTCGGTAGGCAGCAGAAGCACCCCCTGCGTAGTGCTAAGACATAGATGTGATATGGAGGAAAGCGTGGGCAGCACCCCCTCTGCTCGTCTGGGAGCTGGCAGCTGGGAGGGGGATGAGAGCCCTCCAGCGGACGAGGATGACTTCTACAAGCTGATGGATGAGCACGGCATCATCGGGCTCGGGGAGCCAGAGGAGGAAGAACCCGTCTGGGAGCCTAAAGATCAGCCCTCCCCCGACACTCTGGCCCTAGAGGATCTGAGCCACCGTTTGAGGGAGCTGATGGACTCCGAACCTCTGTCTCAGTCCCCCAAAGAGGACAGCCGTCCCCTGTCTATCCGTGAGTCATTCACACAGGCTTTACCTTTCAGGCATCACCATACCATTGTCCCAGCAGGTGGCAGTGTGCTTCGAGTTCTTATCCTCCTAAGGAAGATGCTTATCCTGAATTTCTTGAGTAAGAATATCTAGCCTTTTAATTGGATAGCACATGGGTCTATAATACTTGTCATTCTGTTTGGATCTAAGCATCTTCTAACAGCTAACTTATACTTTCAGTAGATGACATGTAGCAAAACTGGACTAAGAAAATCTACTTCAGAAAAACTATTTTAATCTTCTCAAAAGTCAGGTGATTTAGAGGCGTTTAAACATGTAAGCGAATGTAGTGTTGAATTCATTTTTGTTATTTTGACTGCTCTTGACTTTCTGCTGTTCTCTTTCTCAGATGACCTGGAAAAAGCCGGGAACAGTGACAGTGTGGAAGAGGACACCTTCAGTGAGGAGGAAGAGGACCGTGGCGGAGTGGTACAGTGGTGGCAGGCGGAATCCCAGCCTGAGCGAGACGGACAGCTGGAGGGGGTGGGGGTGGAGCCCGACAGAGACGTGGGGGTGTGGTCTGACCTGCCGCTGCCCAGAGAACAGGAGGAGTCAGAAATAAGGAGTAGGTCAGTAGAGGGGAAGGGCAGCAGGGGGGGGTTATGCCCAGTCCCCAGCCCTTCCGGGGGAGTCCGAGGGGGCAGCGGCACCCCCGACTCGGCAGTCCCGCCAGAGCAGTACCCAAAAGCAGGTCAGCTAAACCAACGGCCCATGCGGTCCGAGGCTGACAGCTGGAACTGGTCTGGGCTAGTGCCCCCCTCGAACCCGATGCCGGATTCCGGGAGAGCAAAGCCGAAGCAGCTGCCCTGTGAGTTGCCGTGCCCTGCAGCCAGACATCCTCCTGAAAGCAGCCAGGCGGTTCCCCGGCTGAAAGCCTGCCACCATACAGCAAGAGCCTCCACAGAGCCAGTGGGCAACCCCAACCTGGATGGCAGCAGGTGGGCCTGACCTCTCCTACTCTGCATCTGTCAGAGAATATGAAGCAAAAAACCATCAAACGACGGAGCGCATATACGTAGACAACGTATTTCTGTTTTACAGCCCTTTCTCAAAATGTTTTTTAGTGCACTGTTTTTATATATATATATATGACACACACACACACACACACGGTGTTGTATAAACAACTTCAGTGCTATAGGATAAAGGAGTACTTGATCGCAGGAGCAAATTGTGCTGCATGCAGCAGTGAGATCATAATGCACAGGCGAATATGCGTATAGTGCAAAAACGATACCCATGGTGCAGACAAGTAAATGTGGGGTAAACAGATTTTGAAGGTACACTAATAGAAATGATTTGCTATCTGGTTTGTTTTCAGTAGTATACAACCTGTATGTGTGCTGTCTGGCTCATTTGGGATCTCTGCATGTGTCCTTGTGTGTGATGGCAGGAGAGGACGGCTGAGTCACCCACTGCCAGATTTCTCCAAAGTCCAGCCCAAGGTCCGCTTCCCAAAGACGGACTACAGGCCGCCCAGAAGTAAGGGCTCCTCCCTCTGCCGGACCCCAGGTCCCGGCCCCCCCGCCGCACTCAAGTCCCCCGCCGACATTGTGAAGGAGGTTCTGATGAGCGGCTCCGAGGGCCCCCACGCCGCCGGGTCCCCATCTCACCCTGAGGCCATCATGCCTCCAGAATTCGCTTCAGCTCAGCAGGCCCACGCTCTCATGCACCAGCTCCAGGTATCCATGCGGGGGAGCCGTTTGTCCTCGCGGTTCAGCCTCCGATACATTCTGAATGTCAATGAGAACCACGGTGCTTCTTGTTCTGTTTATTGTTGTTGTTCTTGTCGTTAATGAAATTAAAAATGAGACGACATCGACCTCGGTGACATTGAGTATACAGCCGGGTTTTACCCTGCAGCAGCTCAAGTTAATTATCTTGCCTGAGGGTTCTATAGGAAATCCTCTCCTAGGACTTAAAGAGGCCGACTAAGGTTACAGACTCTCAGCCTCCGACATGATGCTGCTCGATGCTCATTATGCTGCATTACAGCCCCTGACAGCTCGCTCTCTCTCTCTCTCCATCTTTCTATCTCTCTCTCTCTCAAAGGAGGACTACAACAAACTGCTCACCAAGTACGCAGAGGCAGAAAACACTATAGACAGACTGCGTCTGAAGGCAAAGGTTGTGCGTCTCTGGGGTTGCGTGTATTTTCTAAGCCCTCTGTCATTTATTCCCTGAAGCCTCTATCGCTGGATAGCTCTCTGCTCACAGGATAGCTCTCTGCTCACAGGATAGCTCTCTGCTCACAGGATAGCTCTCTGCTCACAGGATAGCTCTCTGCTCACAGGATAGCTCTCTGCAGGTTCTTCAGCTTGACCCCTGAGGTTCATGTGTTGCCTCTTCCATAGTCATTTGGCATGGCTTGTCCTGTGGGTACAGTCATGTGACCCGTCAATACTAATTAAAAAAACAGTGTGAAGGTGTTTGCTTCTGTGCCCTACGATCCGCGCGGCAGTCAGGTGGACTCTGACTCTGAGGGGGTTTACAGAGGATCCTTTTAAAGGTCATTTAGCAGATGCAGCAGCCAGGTCCTGCTCTGTAATAGGCTCCGATTCTTCTCGGTCAGCACCACCCCCCACCCCCCTCCGTGGTCCCTGCTTTGAGTCCTTCTGTCACTCCTTGTTAATCCTTTGACTTGTCCGGGCTGCCAGGTGGCCATTAAGCTCGATAACCAGTGAAGTTGCCACCTGCTTCCAAGTAAAAGCAAGCGAATGTTTTCATCCCTGCATACAGTAGATTTTCTCGCTGGTTTTATTTAAGTCTATAATGGCCGCTGCTTCTCTGCTGAGTGCAGAGGTCACATGACGCAGATGCAGTCACATGGGCTCACCACGCAGGGACAGCGTCCCTTTTCAGCTTTTGCACAAAGGCGTCACTCACGGCCATCCGGGGGCGTGTGTGCTCTGCGTACCGATCGCCGCGTCATAATCATCCGTCTGTTCACATAGAGGCGAGGTCTGATGCACGTGTATTTTATCACAACTCCGCAGGCCAGCATTTGTTTTACTTATGAGACCCACATATGAAAAGTTTGACTACAAAAGAAAATGATTCGCTCACTGTAAAGGCTTAGGAGTAGATACTGTAAAAGCTTTATGGCTGTGAGTTGAGGGAAATGGCCAGCTTTCTTCTGCATTACTATGGTTCCTTGTAATCTCATTGTTTTATTGCTAATGCTTTGAGTAACATGACTTGAGGTAGTAGGAATGCCCTCGAAAGGAGCGAGAACATAGCATCAGTGTGCCGTTACACACTTGTTTTTCTTCTAATGAGATGTGGAGCTGGTTTTAAACCCTGTTCTGATGCCTGCTGTCCCCAGGTGAACCTGTACTCCGACCCCCCTGAGCCCAGGCATCCTCTACACTTGGGCACCATCAGCATGGGTTCACAGGCGATGAAGCTGACCTTTCCCCAAGCTCAGAGGGCTGAGCTTGGCCACACTGCCGGCCCAATGCATCTCTCAATGCTCAAATCAGGTATATGCTGCCACCTAGTGGTTCTTGTCTCCTCTAGTTATAGTGTGCTTTATTTTTATCTTGTGATTTTATCACTTAATTCAATGTTGGCTTTTCTTTCTTAAAGTAAGCTTAAAGGTCTGTTAACAGGTTGCATTTTGACCACAATAAGCACAGTTTACCATGTTACAACCTTTGTTCTTGGTGACCTTGCATGTTACTTTGAACGAAAGCAACTGCCAAAAACGTAGACTTTCCTGTTTGAACTATTCGCAACCCTGAGATCAGGCAGTGGCTGCCTGGGTCTGTCCTGAAGCTCAGCTCTGCACCCTCTCAGCTGTCCTCGTTCGCCTTTATACGCAGACGGGACCGATGGTGCTCTTTCCTCCTCCGAGGCCTCTCTCCCGTCCCGAAGCCTGGACCACCCAGCACGGCAGCTTCTGACCGAATCTCTTATGGACCAGTCTGACAGCTTCCGGATGCAGGTGGTTATTTGTGACAGCTCTCAGCTTCAAAAAAAGTTGCCAGCTGTTGCCGATGATTTAATACCCATAGAAAGGGCTCTCTGGATTGTAGAGATCTGGCAGCTGTAATTTGTTCAGCTGGGATATTTTAGCATTGCTGAGGAAAATAAAGGGTTTCCTGAGTAATGAATGGCTTTGTACGTTTAGAATTTTTAGAATTTGGTGATCAGTGGTCATTGTTGACACACCACAGCACACAGTGCACAACAACGAAATGTGTCCTCTGCATTTAACCCATATGTGACGTCGTGCCTTAGTGGTGCCTCGCTGGTCGGGGATTCAAACCAGCAATCTTTGAATTACATGTGCGCCTCCGTAACCATTAAGCCACCACTGTCCACAATTTGTTTGTTAGATCTGACCTAGCTAACCCATTCAATCCCACTGCAGGTTGACTGCTTTGAAGACTTTGTGAAGAATGGAAAGCTGACACCCTTTCAGCAGATGGAGGTAAATCCACCTAAACAGCTGTAATGTGAGTTTCTGAAGAACACAAACCCATCTTGGTGTTTCCCAAACCCAGTGGAAGTAGAGGTAGATCATGATGTTTCCAGTGGTCTTGACCACGTAGTTACCAGAGAATGAGTGTTATGAGGCAGTGACTGGATTTCAAGCTGAGGCCACCATGACCACTGTGACGTTTCTCTCGCTCTTGTTGATCCAGGGCTTATCGGACCTGGCCAGGGGGCTGGACGCCCTGGAGAGGGGTTACCTGCAGGCTCGGGGTGAGCACCGGGTCCTGCAGCAACACGGCAGGCAGCCTGCCGCCTTTGATCCAGACAGGTGAGTCTGCCTGCACCTCTGAGTTTGGCTTGAGGGTTTTGAGGCTGAGGTTTTCCTTAACTGCACGTCAATCCTAAAATAGTGTCTTCTGGCTGTGCTGAAACAGGAGATTGGTTTCCCAATATTATACAACACATGAAACAGTATTTTATTTCTATTTATTGAAGCTTTGCAGATATGCTCAAAGGCTGATACATGGTGTTGGGGATTTTTAGTGATGCTGAATTTTGTTTATCCTTTCTATCTTCCCTTCTCTCTGTTCTTTACTTCCCTTTACAGCCATTTCCTTCCCTTTCTTGGTTATTAAATTTGTGTGGAGCAGAAACGTTTTGTTTTGGTGTCCTGTTTCTCTGCCTCAGGGAGCTAGAGGGGTGGATCTTCCGTTTGGGGATGCGTCTGGAGCAGCTGAGGGAACAGGTGGGGCAGCCTGCGCCACACCAGCCTCACCTCAGATCCTCGTGTCCCCCACCTTCAGAACCTGATCCTCTCTCGGCCCAGGACCACAGGGAAAGCCCCCCTCTTCTCCCCAAGGTATGAGCCTCTAGAAACATGTCTCCACAATCCCCCCACCCCAGTACGAGTGACACTTAAAAGAAAAGAGCCCACAGTGGAATATTCCGCCTGTCATGTTGTATGACTGCTGTGGGGTTTTGCAGTTTGCAGGGAAGCCACTAGGTGGCATCAAAAGCCATGAAATGCTTGACAGCAGAATGAAACCATAGATTACCCTTATTTGTTCAATTTAATATCACCTATTATGTTCCCTTTCTTTCTCTGTTTGGTAGAAGCTTTTTAGTTACCAGTAATTAAAGAACTATCTCAATCAGAGAATTTTTAATTCTGCACAGAATGTGTATTGATCCTTGATTAAACTTTAATTATCCCATTTCCCTGGCCCTTAAGGACGCATAACCCTCCAGTGTAGCAGGGACCCTCTGTTTCTGAATGTCTCCCTGTTTTCTCTTTGTCCCTCAGACGCCCATATTCCCCATGGAGGGCAGGGCCATGAGCCCTTTGAGTGAGGAGGCGGAGCCACAGTCTGCTGCCCTCCATCCCAAGCTGTGGATGAAGCACCAGCAAGCAGAGTGTGATCTCAGCAAGCTGTCGGACCAGTGAGTGTCAGCACCCTGCTCCATCACTACCTGGCTCTCCCAGTCTGGTTTTAAGGAGCTAAAACCTCTGTCTGTGCGATATTGTGTTATATTTATTTGTTGAACAGATTCTGTTGTCCGAAGGAACACTCAAGTGAGGATCAGAGATCAGGGACAGGCCGTATTCGTGGAGTAATTGGGCTTGGGGGCCTCGCCCAAGGGGGATCCCATTGGTGACTGATGATGTCATTACATCAGCCGGCCTCCCAGCCATGGCTACACAGTCCTATAACTCGCTGGGCTGCACTCCACCCAGTGTAATTTTATATGGTCAAAATTTCAACAGACACCAGTATTTTAAGTTCAACGGTGCTTTACTGATTGATATATTTCTCAAACTCTTAATGTGAATATAAAGCAAGCCGCCTTAATCTTATAACAGAGTAGCATGAATTATTTCTCAAACAAGTAATATTTAATTGTGTTCTGCTTAAAAGCACCTCACAAATGAACTTCTGATTCTAAGGTTTTTGTGCAGTATAATACAATAATTTCCTTTCCCAGTTGATCACTAGCCGCTTATGTATGACTTGTGTGTTATTGTGTCTCTGTTTGCTTAGCTCTCTGGATTTTGGTCACTTTGTGTTGTATGTAATTAGGGCTGACCGATTTTTATTGATATCAAATCGCGATTTGAAACAACAGGATTAGCAAATGGCAAAGGCTGCAATATAGAATATGCATTATACAGCACGTCTTACCCAGGGTTTAGAACTGTCCACCAAACACATGAAACCCAAGGAAAATGTTACATTCATGCTGTGAAATTTCACCCCCAGCTTCTAAGTTATTAGTGAATTACTCACCTATTTCATGCTCAGAGGTTGTTTACAGAAAGGTCCTATTATTAGTAGGCCAAGCAGCGTTAACTGCAGGATGCTTTTTCTTACTGGAATTGTGTTATCTTTATTATTGCTTTAACTTAACCGTCACAGCTTTTGTAATAATCGATTTATGTTTGATAGTTCTATGCTAAATTCAAAAAGTAATGAATACATGTTGGAAGCAATTCATATCTTTAAGTTCTCATCCGTGCATTAGAATTTAGAGTCTATATTATAGACCAATAAATATTTTCATGGTATCTCATGTGGTAATGCTGTTTCATGTGTTTTAAATCCATTACACACTGAATATTGAACTGAAGCTTGACTTTAAAAAATCCTATCGCAAATCAAATCGCAATATAGATATTTTTTTAGATATTTTCCCCAAATCATTCAGGCCTATATGTAATCTTGCCACCCCCTTCAGATGGTAGGACAGGGAAACCTTTCGTTTCTCACTCTTTTTGCAACATTTTTTGGTTATGGAGATTGTGTGCTGTATTTTCTATTTTCCCATTTCATTCAGTATATGAAAGATGGAGAGATGTGAATTTTTTGGTGATATCCAGGTCTGATGCTGGTTATCCAATCCTCATATCCTGACAAACTCCCAATCTTGGTTGCTGAATATGCTGGTTGTCTTTGCTGCAGTAACTAATCTGTTTCAAGTAAAATGGTTAAGTGTGGCGTAGTGATCACGTCACTCCCAGACCACTAAAGCTGACTCTCTAACTCATGTGTAATACTTTGTTAAACTGAATTTGAGTGGAGTTGGATGGTTAGTCATTGCTCATTGTATAATTTATCAGTCACTTACTAGTCCTTGAATGGTTTCAGTACTAAAAACAGCTAGTGAATAAAAAATCTGTCTAGTTTTATCCATTAAAGGTTTGTGCTATAGTGAGCATATTAATGTTACTACCTACATTTCTGAGTTTATTCAGTGTTAGGGATCCATCAAAAACAGGGAGGTTGATTAATGTAGTGCGAAGTTCTTGATGATGGGACTTGCAGTGAAGTGTACTCGTTTTCTCCTCTTCATGGAAATTGACCCCACATTTGTTTGTGTTTGTTTGCACGCCATCTGGCAGTGCTCCTTGGCCACTGCAGTGCTGACTGACGAGCTCTTTTTCTGTTCTCTCTATTCAGTTACCAGCTTTCCAAGGAGCTGCCTGGTCTGCTGGACCTATGCCAAGAGTCTGAGGTCAGGGGCAGAGCTCTACTGCACCCTTCGGCTTTGGGGGCCGACCCGGCATGCAGAGGAAATGGCAGGGTGGCCAACCAGGAGAGCGAACAGAGTATACCCTCAGTGTGAGTCTGATCTGGGGAAGCCGACTGCCATCGTCAGAATCGGCGGAGCGGGGTGGTTAATAGTGACTAAGAGTAACATTTGCTAATATGACAGTTAGCAGGGGCTAAATCGCCAATGTCTTTCTGTGGGTCATAGCTTAACTCCACAGCAGTCGAATGGTGCTGGAGTACAATCGGCTGTTGTCTGTTTTGACTCTTTAGGCAGGTAAAAGATACTGGGGGGGTACAGTCTGGTCTACCTCCTGCACACACCAGCAGGAGCCTGGAGAGCCACTTTCCACGGCCCCACCCTCACCCTCACCCCCACCCCCGGGGTGTGGACCAGCCCGGGGGCATGGCCACCCATGACAACAAGCTACAGAGTGGACATGGAAAAGCATCCCCTCTGGTCAGTGCAAATGGTGAACAAAATGAATAGCGAGTAATAGCTGACAGGACTCGACTGGCAAATGTATGTGGTCGGGTTCCATCTCTATGAGCTGTTGGTATTTTGTGAGGATCGAGGTGCTTTTTCAAAATGTCAAACTAAAATTTGCAGATTCCCTCTGGCACCTGCTTTCACTTCACACTGATTAAATGGAAAAGAGGGAGCAAGGGATTGTGGGATAAGATCAGTTCAGGAGAAAGGGTTGGGTAGGCAATATGAGAGAGAGCTGGCTGTTGTGTACAAATTACACACTATTAATGGACAGAAAGGAGAAGAGTTTTTAATAGTAAAATATTTTGTATGATTGCTGTCTGTACTGGTATGATAATATTTGTAAGGGTTTACTTTACCCACAGTTGCCCAAGCTGGATATAGTAACTGAGTCGTGAGCATGTCGTCTCCCCTCTGCTGCAGGATGGGATCGTCTCACCAGAGACGGACAGTGGCTTTGTGGGCTCTGAGAGCAGCCGCCTGACCCGCGTAGTGCACAGTCCCCCCCAGCGGATGTCGAGAGCGAGGTGCGTTCAAGACCGCCCCACCTAGTCTTCTCTCTCTCTCTCTCTCTCTCTCTCACACACACAAGCGTGCACTGCTTTCTCTTCAAACATCACATTCTCTGATTCATAGCCGTGTTACATAAAGTGTTTTACTCTTCCAGTGATCGTCCCTCATCGCTGTGACAGTCTGAGCTTTTCATAGGATTTCAGCGTGTGCTGGCATTGAACAGGATGTGTTCAGTGATCTGTTTAATTGGAAATTAAAAACAGAGGTTCTAACATAGATTTTTTTTTACAGTTTTGTTTACTTGTCTTGATCTACTTTTTGTTTCATACTTCCATTCACTGAGTACTTTATTAGGTACACCTGCTTATTCATGCAATTATCTAATCAGCCAATCATGTGGCAGCACTGCGATGAATAAAATCATGCAGACACAGGTCAGAGGCGGATGGGCTACAACAGCAGAGGACCTTGTCGGCTTTCATCCCTGTCAGCCAACAACAGAAAGCTGAGGCTGCAGCGGGCACAGGCTCACCAGCACTTGGCAGTTTAACGCTGGGCAAAACGGAGCTTGGTCAGATAAATTTTTGCTGAGGCATTCAGATGGTAGGGTTAGAATTTGGAGTCAACAGCATGAACCCATGAGCCCAACCTAACTTGTGTCAATAGTCCTGGCCGGTGGTAGAGGTGTAGTCATGCGGGTAATGCATTCTTGTCACACTTTGGACCCATTAATACCAATCGATCATCGCTTGAATGCCATGGCCTGTTTGAGTATTGTTCTCGAGTATTCCATTGTGGCTGCGATTTACCCTCCTAATGGCTGCTTCCAGTATGATGATGCACCATGACAGTATGTTCAGTATTCTTCAGTGTCCTTCCCAACCACTGGATCTGAATCCAGTAGAACAGCACCTTTGGAATCCATGCCACAAAGAACTGGCGCTGTTTTGAGTATAGATAGGCCTTGCCTGGTATTAGTATAGTGTCCCTAATAAAGTACTCTGCGCATATACAGTACAGCTATATATTTCACTGGAGAAATTCAGGCTGGGCATCGTGATCTAGGCTCCTCCTGGGACGTGAACCAGTGACCTTAAGTATTTTATTCTCTGTATAATGTGCAGCCCCCTGTCTGATCTGCTGATTTCTCCATTTCATCCCCAGGCTTTCTCACCATCTAGAAGAAGCAGGAACAAACGTGCAGCCAACCCCTGTTCAGCCCTCACTGGCCTCTGATTCTACAAGACCATCCTGCCCGGACCACACTGGAGGCTGTTGTCATGCCCCGCCCTCAAGGGGGGAAAGCAGAGTACCCTTCCCCTGTCCCTCTAAACCCGACTCTCCCCAGCACTGGGACGGCAGTGGGATAACAATGACCTCTGGGATCAACGAGTCTGACATTCAGTCCAGTGAGTCTCATTACAGGCATAGATAATGCCATGGCTGTCTTAGTATTTGTCTCTCTCTGTGCTCATTGTTAGAATCTTTCTGTTGGCTTTCTGTAGTTGCTTATGTATGTTCTTATCAGTGACATTAATTGCTTTGAATTAATTATATTATGTTTTCTCTCTGAATCCATGCTTTTGGAGGGGTCATTTTTGATAAACATACATTGTGTGTGCTTGTAGTGTTCTCTTCTACCAGGTGGTGGCAGCAGATTGTTTGCTAGGTGATCATAATATCATATAACCATAGAAAATGAATGTAGTAAAAGGTGGGCATGTCAGTGTGAAAGTGCTACGTGGTGAATTTTCCAGCAAGCAGCAGGCATTGAAGATGCAAACCGAAAGAGGAATGAGGTCCCAGCATTACCCCTCTCACACTGTCTTTTCAAACGGCTTCTTAGCCCCCAGTGTGTGTGAGGAAGAGGAGAGCCAAGAGGTCCACACCTTGCAGCCGACTACTGAGCAGCTGTTTGGGCAGAGAAGCCCCTCCCCCACGGCAACGCATCACCGTGTTGCTCCAATCAGAGCGCAGCTGACTGACAAACAGTGAGTCACATGCTGCCTTATAGAGAGTCATTACCATGTTGACACGGTAACCTGAAACCCTGCTCAGAATCCCAAAAACAAGCGACGATTCTTTTAGCCTGTAATAATATACAAGCCCTAAAACGTAACCGCGCTGCGTCCGTAATTGTCCGTTATTCTTTTGGAGAATGCTGTTCCAAGCTGCTTCTCCTTCCATGAATCCAGGGTGTCAGCTTGGGTTTCAGACCTGCACGGAACTTTCCGACAGGCCTGCGCTGCAGATTATTGCAGTCTTCATCCCATAAAAACAGCCACCTTCTACAAAGATGTCTGGCCATCCTTTTTAGCTGCTGGAGGAGTGTAAAGTCTGAGAGATTTGGAGGGGGGGGGGCATTCATTATTATAACTGTGAGACTTTTCATAGCAGCAGTGTCACTCCCCTGTGTGTGTTGACATATGCTCAGTGGGGCCATGCAGTCCCTGCGAGTGGAGATGAACACGCTGAGGGAGGGGCTGGAGGCCAGCCTCCGACAGGCCCCCACCCTCCTTCCTGCCTGGGTGGCACCCCCACGTCCTCCTATCAGGTGGGACCTCTGAATTGCCAGTCCGAATGACACTGAGCGTTCGTTCATTCATTTCTTTTCACTGTATATTGCTTGTTGCTGGGAAAAGTTTGAATTGTGCCTCAGTGAGGATCTGCGCTCTGGAAGTAGCATGTGGGGATCTGCAGGGTGCCGGACGTCTGCCGATTACTGAGCTTTGCTCTAGTGATCCACTCTTGCGTAGATGGTGTGTATGTAACTAACATGGCAGTTAAACAAGTATTTCTATATTTGCTTCTCCCCTGTGTGTGTGTGTGTGTGTGTGTGTGTGTGTGTGTGTGTGTGTGAGAATCCAGGTTTGCTAGAAGCCCAAAAGTCAGGGGAGGGGGTGAGCAGGTCAAACAGAGAACAGAGGAAGAAGACGGGTGGGAGGAGGAGTCACTAGGGCCTGCCTTCCAGAGAAGGTCTGCCTCCTGCTGGAGACCTAACCTTAGCATCAGTGAGTTTGACAAGCTGGCAGTTTGAGACACACATGAATGCATAGACCTGTTTGAAGGACTTGATTTATGGTTTAATTCGCTGTGCATATGATGGTGATTCCTGGATGAAGGGTGAAAGCTGCTTTATTCATCGTCATTGTTATTTAGACTCCCATTTTGTGTGTTTCTCATTTCCCTGCAATCTCCAGCCCCTGATTCTGAGCATTCTGAGAGAACCTCCAAGCCAAGGTCTTCCAGGAACATCCCAGCATCACCTGCAGCACAAGGAGTAAGGGGCCGGGCCCGATCGGACCCCGTGCCATGCAGAGGATCCGGTAAGCAGTGGACCCCTGCAGCAGGACCTGCTGCCAACTCCAGGTCGGGCTTTAACTCTGCGGCTGTGCGGTTCTGTTCTCCGCAGGCCGGCTGTGTCACCTGACTCACTCCAGTGGTTCTGATGAACCCGAGAGGCGAGAAAGCAAAAGCTGTGCCAGGCCACCATCTCGGTCACACCTGAACGGTACCTCTCTGGCCCATTAATCTGTGCAGGCATGTTTCTGGGAGTGCGTTGCCCCGACTCACTCTCTCATGTTTCCGTTCTCTTCCTTGCGGCCATAGGGGCCATAGGGGGCGCCGTCCACTCATCACGCTGTCCTCTGTGCAGTGCTCCTGAACAGCTGCATGGGGTTAGAGATGCCAGGGGGGCAGGTGAGAACCATCCTCTTTCCATGTGTCGTTGCCTAGGATACATTTTTGATCATTTCCAGCAGTAGAGTAATATGACATTAAAATACAAGTAAACATACCATGAAAACATAGTTCAAAGGTTTTGAATGTGGCGTATCCACACCAGTAGTTCCTGTTATCTTCTAATGGAGGAAACGTACATTTAAAAATGCTGCTTTTTCTTGACTTGTAGGCTCTTCTCGGAAGAGACGCTCAGGCTCCACCCCCCGAGGCAAGCGACCAGTGAAGGTCTCACACAAAGCTTCTTCCACGGCGACTCCACCGCCTCACTCCCCCAGCAGTGTGCCAGTGGTTTACTGTGTGCCAGTTTGTCCCTCGGTGCTGTGAGTATCTCTTTTGGCCTACTGCCATTTTGATCCATTTCCAAAAGCCGTGTTTATGCTCACTTGGAAAAGAGCAGCAGCCTTAGACCCCAACACCGAATTCTAATCCAGTCATGACCTTCTGTGTCCGGCAGGTACTGTCCTAGTCCTGTGCTCAGTGCAGGCCCCACATACCTGCGTTCCCTCTACCGGCCACTGGGTGTCGCCAAAGCAGATGCAGGGGACGCTTCCCTGAAAAGACCTCGGCAGCAGGGCACCTCCCTGTCATCCGACGTAGATCCCCTCGGCCAGTCCCTGAGCCGTGCCATTGAGGCTGCCACGAGTATGCGGGCTGCCTCCCAGCATATGAGCCGCTCACTTGCCTCAGGACTTCGTCACCAGGGGGCGCTGGAGCAGTTATGTCCGCACTGAAGCCACCAAATGTACAGCAGACCACGGTGACACATTCAGAGCTGCTTTCAGAAACTCAGGGTATCTGTTCTGCACTGTACCTTCACTTGAATTGCGGTCCCCTGGGCTTCCCATGAAGGAAAACCTGCTCAGTTTCCTTGTGAACTGTGTTTGTTTGTTAGCTTAAGTATGAGTGGAAAGTATATGTTATTTCATTTTTGCTAGTTTCAAAATACAAAATACTAGGTTCAGTCCTGGTTTATGCTAGAATCCAGACACAACCTGCCTGAATCAGGGATTCCTCACAGTGACAGTATAGCTTAAGCCTGTGTTTTTATATAGTGTATTTTGACTGGCAAAACTTGTTTTTTAAGTAGTATCCATGTTTTGAATAGTAATTTATATTAACTGAGCAGAGTGTGGTCATGATTCTCATGTGTCTTACTAAACTGTTGCCACTGTGATATGGATATAGAAAGAGGCTTTTGGTCCAATGAACTTTTCACATGTGGATGTTTTCTCCAGCACTTACTTTTTCAAAGAGGCTGTAAGGGTCAGCGGGAAGCGAGGGAGGCGCTGAGCTCATCTGCGTGGCCATGTTTACTTCCTGTCTGAACGACTGCTTCACCTCTCTGCCTTCTACCATTGATCAGTTAGAATGCATTTGAAGCATAATGAGCTGGTATCTATGAGGTTTGCTTTACTCTTCAAACAGGCAGATGTCTCAAAAGAGGGCAGCTGCATTGTGATTTGACAATGAGCATAGTCTTAAAGGCACTGTAATTGTAAATTCCATCTACCACATAATTACATATACATTGATTTATCCTTATTATCAAAGGCAGGGAATGTGCTTGTTTGAAAATCTAGACAGACTTGTCTCTTCTGAACATTAATGCAGTTTTAATTCATGCATTACTCTGACATTCTGTAGATGTGATGTCATACAGTCTGATCATTTACAATGTTGTAATGTGTAGTTTTTGTGTGTGGACAGCATTTCACTTCTGCATGCCGGATTACACGGTGGTTTCTGGTCGTTACCCTGGGTGCTGGAGACCAGGCCTGCTAGCCCCGAGTCCTCAAACTGAGCCGCCCACTCTCTGCGCTGTATGTGCTCTAGTGGCATTTCGTCTGACTTGGCTTGTTGTACTGTGTACTCTCAAAGCCAGGTGCCAGGTTTACTCGTAGAATTTGGAACCTGGGTACGTTTTTTTGGTCATTCCAGTGAATTAGTGGTTAGTGCCGTTATGAGTAAGCCGAGACTGAAGGGGGATGAAATTTAGCAATATCAATTCATAGAAGGGATATTTTAGATAATAATGCAGTTGTGAGGGACATTTTCATGCTTGACACTGTAAAAAATAGCTGAATATATGTAATTTGATTTTATAGTGTTTGTACTAAAAGTTTTAATTGAAGTTTCCAATAGTGCTTTATAATACAAGAAAGTCTTTTGTAATAGTTAATAGTAAATTATATTTTCTTGAGGTGTTGGGTGAAATGGGTTGGTATGTTTTTCTTTTATTGTGTAATTGTTTACCACATACAGTCTGAAAGTGTTCAGAGTGTCCATGCTGTGGAGCAGTTTAACCAGAAACAGAAGGTAAGGTTTAGTAAAGAGTGACCCCTGCAGCACAGCTTGGCATCCTGCGGCCAGACACTCCTTAGCACTACACTGGGGGGGGGGGGACCCGGCTGCTTGGGGCCAAATGTCATGCATTGTGATTGTATCCTTAAATGTGTATGCCATGTTCCCAGTCAGGGGGATGCACGTGTGTCCCCTAGTGGCTTGGTAGGGCCCTGCAGGCTGCCTCTGTGCCATGCTGTGATCCAGAGGTGGCTGTCAGGGGTCTATATGTTCCAAGAGAAGGGACCACTGTAAGTACCCCGTGTACATTTTGACGTGTGAGACATTACAATTATGATGGCAGTCAGAACCGAACCGTGTGACCAATTTCACTGGGTCCTTTTTTTTATCATTATTAGCAAGGATCAGGCCAGAAAGTATGGAAACATACATACCAAAAACACCAAAAATTTTTTAACAGGGATCAAGGATAGGATAGACCCCTATTATTCAAATCATGGTCCTCGAGGTCTGAGCACTGCTGGTTTTCCAATCTTCCTTTACCTGTGAGCCAGGTGTGAAGCCTCTGACCAATCAGAATCAGTAAGTATTAAACTAACTACCTGGGAGAACTGAAAACAAGGCCTGGATTTGGAAGCGAGGTCCAGATTTGAAGAACCCTGGGAAAGACAATAATCAGTCTCACCACCCCATCACCTGCCTTATTCCAAAAATATTTGTTCAAAGAGATGTTATTGAGACCCATTTTCTATGGGTGAAGACAGAGCAGCAAACATACTAATAATATCATGGGCAGACAAGTTTCAATTTCTTCAATGTGTGATCTGTTAGGAAGATACCTAAACAAAACAGCATCGTGATGTCTTCGTAAGAAAGTACAGAGACAGCTTTAATGGAAGCCAAATTTATTAGACAGCTTTAGTACATAGGTACATATAGAGTACTTCTATTTGTGCTTCAACACTCGCAAACATATAATTCCAATAAGTTAAACAGATTTGAGACAGACCTAATTTATTCATATCTTTCTCTCTGATAAATAACTTTGATATAAATCAATCAAGTAGACATCATGAATGCTATACAACGGCAACAAAGGAAAACTGTTAAACAAGCCTGTGCATCACAGAAAAACGCATAGTGCAATATACAGCCTGTTCGTCCAAGAAAGGGGGACAAAGGAAAGAAACCGAGAGAAGTTTTCATTTGTTTTTTCTTTTTTTTTCTTGCAAAGCCTTTCAACAGTGGAAGATTTTACATTGCACCAGAAGAAAAAGTAACAGACTAATAAAATATAGAGAGATTTTTTTTTTTTTCCCAAGACCACTACAACTACAGCTAAAACGTCACAAAACACAGTGGCTTCACATTGGCATCTTCAAAGGAAATATTTTGCTACTTCACAGTCAGAAATATCACTGGGAACAGTGGGACGCTGAAACATCAACATATGGCATATACACGACACGGTACTCAGTGCATGGGCAGATAAATGTCATTAATAATCAACGGCGTGACGTGATTGGACAGGATACAATACTGAGATACGACTGGCCCTTTGAAAAGTTTTGCAAGCAGTGGCCTTCTGACACTACAACATTTGAGTCTTCGGAGAACAGGTTGGAGGGTAAATGCGTCCAGTCACAGAGCGAGAGGAGGGATGGCGCTTGCGATGCGCAGCCTTTGCCGGCTGTGATATTTACAGCAGCGCTCAGCTTGTGCAAACTCTGTCGTCAGTCCTCATTGGTCCCTTTTTTTCCTCCTGTCTCAGGATGGGCGTGACGCAATGCATTCTGGGAGCTGGTATTTGTTTCTCGTAAGGTGTCTTTTCTGGGGATTCAGCCGCGTCCTCTCTCTGGTCTACGACCCTTAAAGACAGTACGGTCCACTAGGACCCATGCCCCCGGTGGCCTGAGGCAAGCCACGCACTGTTGTCCAACAGCAAAAGTTTGTCACTCTCACGCAAAACCGCGATCAGCAAGTCCCTCCTCTGTCCACCACTGATAGAAGAATGCACACCATTATAAGAAAACCGAGGGAACAAATAAAATCTACAATTTACACATTCTAACAGGTTTCATAGCATACAGTGTTTAAATTTGGTACTTTATGTTTTAAATGGCCTTATTGATACTTAAACCTTATTTTTGCATCCATTTTAAAACATGAGAATACTTGCAATGATTTCTTTGTGTCAACATGTTATATATTTATATATATAATTTTTTTTTTTTATCAATGCTTTAATTTTTTTTTTTTCCTCAAGCAAGATGCATACACATTTAATATAGGAGTGGCTGGCATCCTGGAAGGAATGGGAGGGGCACTAAGAAGGCATGGAGGGGTGGGGGTGACACTACTGCTCCTCATCTGGTTTATTCATAGCTTTGAGGGCGTCGAGGACTGCAGTTGGAGTGAAGATATGAGTCGATCCTGCGGGGGGGGGCATCGATGGGACAGAGAGACATACGTGTTAGAGCAGCCCTATCAAACTTCCTTACAGAAAATGTGTTTTCAGCCATTTTTACCGTATGGGTAATGAAGTGAAGAAAAAAAACACACACACATATATATATATAAAACGATGAAGGGGGATTTCGAGCTCGAACGAAAACTGATTTGTTCTAAGACTAGAGGAACGGTCCGTGAGAATTAACTGACCAATGAGTTTCATAGTCGATTTATGGATTCGGTGGACTGAAAGTCGACTTGAGATCAGGTCGTAGTTAGCAGACGCCCCCATCAGCCAAGAAGCTGCAGGATTCAGCTGCATGCAAACGCTCGACCAGAGTGCAGAGGGCACAGCACGACAGCCCGTTCACAAAGACGTGAACCAGTCACCGCGGGAATTCTGTCTCACCGACGGGCTACTGCCACACCGGCCGATGATGTCACAGTGCTCTAAGTGACATCACGGCATCTCTGGATATTCACAGTGACATCACAGTTCAGCGAGAGCTCAGCCATGATGCGCGAATGGGCATGTGACCCGGGGTAACTGCACGGTCCATGCAAACACAGCAGCACAAATGAAAATGAGGGCCAGCTGCATAAAAGGCTGTTCTCCTTCCTACCGTTCCCTGGTTTAGAAGAACGCAAAATCAAACCAAAAATCTCAACAACACAAGCACAAGGGAGAAGGAGATGGAGCTTACTTGATTTCTCAACAGCTGAAGACACATTTCTTACACAAGGCATTACACGGCAGGGAGGGAGTCAGATTAAACCAAACATTTGGCCCACTGACTCATTGAAGACATAAGAAAGCAACCGTTTGATCTTCCCATGACAGCATGAAAGTCAGAAAGTCAGGAGATTACAGACGGCAAGCGGGCCAAAGTTTTGGTGTCGTCCTAGTAACATTTATCATCATTAGTACTGTGTTGTCTACGTAGCAAAGCTGTGTGTTTCCCCTGCTGTAACTTACCGAGGTGCTGTTGGTTTTTTTGGATACAGTCTTTACCAGATCCACCAAAGCATCGCAGTGGTCTATGGAAGGTAGAAAGCTGACCCCAGATCCCCAGAGCCCACGGCCCGATCCAGCGAAACGCACAGCTTTGCTGACCGTGTGCCGACAACAAAACGGCGGTTTTCCCACTAGTGGCAACTCGCCAGACTGCGAGTGTGCCTGGAAGATGATGACTGGGAGTAATGGCTGCAGAGCAGAGGGAGTGTTGGATGTAGCAGTATGGATGTGGGTGACATACTGCGCATGGTGATCGTTTTACTGGAAATGGGGTTCAGTGAGATATCGCTTTAGCAGCCCTGGGGTGCCAGTAGCATGCTGGTCTGTTGTGCATGTCACCTGGGGAATCGCTTATTGAAATGAGGAACTATCACCACCAGAAAAAGCCGCACCAGCTATATCTTATCTTTGCCATGGGGATGAGCTGTGGGCTGCATGTTTTTTTTGGCATCCTCTCTACCCTGAATACATGCTGGGTCCTCGACTGCTACAGGCAGCGGAAGGCCTGCAAGGATTATTATACTTATGGGCCACTGCATGGAGGCTACTCTGGTCTTCAGTTTATGTGTTTATGTATGTATTTACTACTTGCTAAAGCATATCAAGCGAACATCACTTCATATTCCGTCTGTATATGTCTGCAGAGAATCACTGATAAGGACCATAAAAGGGGGTGACTTGCTTTTCTGTTTGCTTTCCTAAGTGACTAAAGAGGCACTGTCCTCTCTCCTGGGGTCCTGGCTGCACAGGATTCTCAGCAGGCGGTCGCCGGGTGATGTAAGAATGTGATGTCTGGTAAACAAGGAGTGAGCAGTCGGGGTGGGTAGGGAAGGCAGTCGACGCAAGACGACGACTCGCGTTGAAATTGAGGATTAACGAAATTGCTGCTCATTTAAAATGTGTCAATGTGGTAACTGTTTATTAAAATAAAAAAGTAAAATCAAAGGAATCTCAAGGGTGGATTAAATCGAGATTGGCACCTCATCAGGTGGGAATTGCTATGAGGTAGAGTGTGAATGGTGAAGAGGGATTTAATCCACCCAGCAGAGACGATGGTGGTATAACAGGGATGGGATCAGAACCTCCCCACCGACCCAGCCGGGCCGCACCAGCCACAGGCCTGTGTGTCCCGGTCACATCTGTGGGGACCGGGGTTCCTGTCACCGTGTTCTAGATTGGACGCTGTTACCAGCACTTTGTATCGTGCAGTTCACACACAGGCCTGCAGGAGGCGCACTGGCTTGGCCCCCTTCGTGGCAGAGGGGTTGGGGAGCCAGTAGTCCCTTATCCCGGAGGAGTAGAGTTATCAGTGGAGTGTTGCAGAGGAAAACGGAAAGAAAGAAAGAATGCCCTTGAGCTGTGGGGTGGGAGGGCATCGGAAAGGGCTTCTTTGCACGGCTGCCTTTACTTTTTCAAGAGTGTTTTCTCTCCCACTCCCTCTCTCTCTCCCCCTCTGTCTCTCTCTCAGTTGTCTGAGGGTTCTGGGTCCTGAAAGGACACCCTAGTGGACTCTCGGAAGTCGGGGTGCTGCAGGTCCATTAGAAATTTGGTGGGGGTGAGCGTGTGGGTGGAACCTGCGGAGGAACAGAGGCGGCTTCACGCTCACTTTTCATGGCATTCCACAACGTTCACCCCCCCCACTCCTGCTCCCCACCTTCCATTTTACCCGAATCCCCCAGGAACAGCTGGGGGGTGGGAAGGAGACAGCCACTGGGGCATCTCCAGGGAGACGAACACTGCAAACCCCACCCCTCTGACCCACGTCCCCAGATGTGGCCTCCTCTTCCTCTTACCTATGCCCTCCGAGCTGAGCTCCACAGAAACCTTACCCGCCGTGCCACGCGTCTCCAAGGAGACATCCGGTCCAGTAAAAACATTCGGCTGATTCTGTTTACCGGGATTTTCTAACAATAGTGCCTCTTACCATGGGAAATAAACTGCCACCTGAGAGCAGTCATTTTATTTAAAGCCCCCGAAAGCTGTAAGCCTCCAGTAAATTCCTGTATCTGTGATTCTAGGCTGCCACACGCGCCATTTGTGTCAGGAACCCTGAAGTGTAGAAGTAGGGTTTACAGATCTACCTGCTTTCTGCTGTGAGACCTAAAGGGGCTGTATCGCTATACATGTGTATATGGGAACCATATCCAATTCTTATAAAATCTCCAAGCTATTTGTGTTGTTTTTTTTTGTTTTTACATAATCAGTGTGGCTCGTATTACGTTAGCAAGCAAGAATAAGGCTTTAAACACAGGAGAGCCCAGTGACTGCTTAACTGAATGGGGCTTAGTTTGGATGTTTAAGGGCTGCTCATCTGTGGGGGGGGACCTCAATTATAAGATTTATTGCCTGGATGGACCTGGGCTTGAATCTGGGGCTCTAGCGGAGCCTGCAACACAAGTGAACAGACACAGGAAGAGACACACACACACACATATATACACACATACACACGCGCACACACACACGTGAGACGGACTTACGAAAAGATGCAAAGGCGTGGCTGCAAGTCAAGAACAACAGTTTAAAAGAAACAGAAAAGCAACAGATCCAGGACACGGCAAAGACGAGACAGGCTGCCCCCCTCAGGGAGAAAGCAGAGCTGCAGGCCGTCCTACATGAAGATCAGCAAGGCAATGGGAACACTGGTGCTGGGCTACTGGAATTAGCATATGGCATCATAATGTCACAAAATAATACTTCATGAAGAGAGCAGGAAAGGAAACCATGGTGCTCTTATACCTAAGGAGGGTCTATAGGAAACTGTATGATGGCAATATTTTATAACCAACATAAATTTTGCTGGAAAGGTAAAAGTGATTCCACAATGAGAAGTGGTTGCTTCCCTGAAATGATGCTATAACATCTGTGATAACTGGTTGGAAGATTGATATTAGTATATAGTATATAGCCCTGCCTCTGCAAATGTGTTGAAAATTCTGTTGAAGTTTTACTGCTGAGAAGATACTCAACTGTAAAAAAAGAATATTAATTTCACTCGTAGAGGACAATAACAATGGAAAATGAAACATGGAACAAGGTTTATAGACTAACAACTGACGGACGTGTATAGAACCAAAAAAGTCTCACAAAGGAGGGAAATGTTTTTGTCCTCCTGATTTTTACCAGCCCCAGCTGAGCAAGATCAATCCTGCACCTTGCAGATGAGCTAATTCTGAGCATCTCGGTCTCCCAGGGGAATCTGAGCGCATGAACTAAAAAGAGGTGGATGCTGAATGCCTGCAACAGCTACCTGCTCGCTCAGGACAAAGGCCTTACGGTCCCTGCAGTGTTAATCTGTCATCACGAATGGAGTCACGGCAACAGACACAGGAATGGCCGGTCTGTGGGGAATGGCAGACTGTCACAGTTCCTGCCTGGTTTCTCAGCATGGTTTGCTGCTTTCAGATATTTACTGAGGCAGAAGAATATCACTGCCACTACAAATCTGAATCTCATCAAGGATTGACCGTCATTTTCAGCAGTTCCTTCAAGCTGGGTATGACTAACCTCTACGATGACCTGCATCGTTTTGGGAGCTTTCTGTAATTAGCACCTGAACTGCCATGTGAGGTGATGTTCTATCCAATAAATTACCACAGATCACTTCCGAGCTGGATCTACAGGGTCTAAGGGATTACAACCAAGCAGCCCTGTCTTCAGGTAGATATAAGCTTTCCTCCTATCAGACAATCATGTTATCCTGCCACCTACTGGAAATCCTACTCTATTCAAGTTTGATTCTGCTGGCTCATTGGTTGACTCTCTTCTTCCTGCGGGGCTCAGTAACACCCCAAGTAAACAGACTCACCGATGATGGCCTCCCACTTGCCATTGGCCTGCGTGACCTCGTAGGCGCAGCGCATCTCGCTGAAGGACACCCCGCCGATGATGAAGACGATGACGCGGGGGCCAGTGCGGTACTCGCCGGGGGTCTTGTTCTTGTGCCAGTGGCCATACCGGGCACTGCAGAAGGTCAGAGGTTCACCAGAGAATGTTTGTCTTCTGCAGTGTTGACCCTTTCTGGCGACGTGTCAGGAGAAACGTCTACTCTTTCTTGCAGGAGATAGCTTAGCTGATGTACTGATTTTCCAGAATGTCTTCAATAAACTCCTTAAACTCTCAAATGGATGTGACAGTCTACATATAGTCTATATATATATATTCTGTAGTCTATAGACACTGTAGACTACCTGATCGGGTCTGCAGCTGGATAACACATCAGCCCATTTTGTCAACATTCCCCTCTGTCAGCCCAGAATCTGCTAGCATAGCTGAGCCACCGACGTACGAGGAGAGCTGGCCGCCTCAGGAGGTCTGCTCAGTGTTTCATTAGTCACATGGGCCCGCTAGAACCCCCTGGGGTTGCTACATCACCTATTTTTAGGTCGATACACACACACAAAGTTACTGCCCCTGACTCGCCTCTTCCCAGCCCCCACCCATCTGAGTTTATTGATCTATAGCATCCCCCATGTCCCCCCAGCTTTCACCCACCCCCAAATGGTCCATAATGACTATTGATTCTGGAACTCATTATAGGAGAACATTCCTCACCTGGGTACGGGCTGGAAAAAGCAAAAGAAGCCACATTTACTCGGGGGGGAAGGAACCGCAATGAGCCCGGGACGTGACTGAGGCTTCTGCGACACCCCCGATTGCTTCACTGAGGCTTGATTTGTTTCCATTTAGATATTCTATACATTTGTGACTGTAGCAGCACTTGAAGGCTTTAGGCTTCCTATAGATCTCCATAGCCATATTGTAATATGTGTAGATTCCTTATATATTCTGTATAATTACTTTGCAGGCTAGATGGTACAATATGTTCTGTAGATTATATATTCTATAGATACTGTAGACTGCGTGTGCATATTTGTACACAAAGTATAGTCTGATGACTTGATTCTAGTGAAGCAATTTCCTGTTTATATTATGTAAAAGTACTTGCTGTTCATTTATTCTTGTGTATATATGTGTGTAGGTGTGAGCACATGAGCGCCCCCACCCACCTGACTGCAGTGGTGCTGAAGGAGGCAGAAGAGCGGGTGGAGATGTAGGGGTAATGCTTGGTGTCCAGCTTGTCATCAATCACATCCTGAAGCAGAACCAGACAGACCCATCAGACCGACAGCCGAGGCACCAGGGTGACCAATAGAGAGGGGAGGGAGGGCCGTGACTGACCTCCATGATGTCCTTGATCAGAGGGGTCCAGCGAGACAGCTGGTAGGTCTGCTCGCTCACCCGCTCCTTGCGGTCCATCTTCTTGCCCCTGCGCAGGGTTGACTGGGGCATCAGAGAGGATCAGGGTAAAATCAGAGAGTAGGTGAGACTCCCGAAGAACAGGCAGACCAGCAGTATTTTGGGGGTTGGTGTCCACAGCACTGCCAGTGCCAAAGGAAACATGCACTCACGTCTGTGATGATGGGCACTCCCAGGTGGGCCATGTTGGTGATGATCTCGCTGTCCTCTGGGGGGATCTGGGCATGCTGAATCAGCTTGTTCAGATTCTCCTCTGTGATCCCTGGGAGATTGATAGGTTGGTGAGCAGAAAAGGAGAAGATGAGGGACACCTGAACATGGGCCCTTAGATCAGCGTTCCCCCCCTCCAAGCAAAAATGTGGACCGTCTGGGTAGGGCTGTGCGATATGGCATAAAATTCATATTGCGGTTTAATTTGAACCATAGACGGTAGACGGTATATATTGTGGTATATAATCTGATCTGTAAATTTCAATATAACTGTTTTTGAAAGGGTAACATATGTCCATAGCAAAGGCATTGCAACCTGAAGTTGTATAATAAACTGTTAACACATTTCAAAGTAGTCGTGAACGTAGAATATTTATTGTGCAAATCTGCAATTAAAAAAAAAAATGAAAACATTTCAAGTAACTTCCCTGGTTTTATCTTATATTAAAAACACAGGTTGGTTTTGTAAACTGTAGGTAAGCAGAAAACAAGACACAGAACCAAAAGCTACAAAACTAATACAATTAGACTAGTGTCATAACTCCATCTATATTAGTATGACCATCTCTCCCATAAAGGTCCGGCACGGGTTCGGGTACCCGACGGGTGACCCGCAAATTTTGATGAAACGGGTGAAAAATATTGTACTGTGTCAGATTCGGGTCGGACGCAGGAGAGCGCAGGTCTAAATTTCGGTTTTCAAAACATCATGTGCCAGCAAAAAATACCCTAGGGCTATATTTTAGTGACACACAAAAAATCCCTGCATTCAAGATGATAAAACATAAAATCCATATCAGTTTATGCCGGCACGCGCATTCCCCAAAATCTCTCCCACTTTCATTTTCAAAAAGCGCGTGCGAACAACTCTTTTGACGTCTTGTCATGGTGGAGAGAGCATGAGCGTTTGTTTCCCAATATTGCTCATGTTGCGAGATCTATTCTCGCTTTCCCGGCATCCAGCGCCACAAGTGAGCGAGATTTCTCATGCGCCGGATGTGTCATCCAGGAGCGAAGGAGTCAGCTGAGGCCATCAACTGTGGACGATAATATCCTTTTTTAACACAGTAATATAAAGCACCACACCAAACGCTAGTCTTCGCCTTTGCGTAGGAATTCCAATCGGGTAATCAAAGGAAAATGGACAGTGCACGTAGGTAGCCTGTAAGACCTAATAATGTGCAGAGTAGCCTAATGTACATTTTATATATGTTTTATTAACTCATTTGATTGTAAGCTGGTAAGGCTATGTGTGGGCATGGCAATATCAAACATTATTTGAGTTTGTAGGTAGGCTACTACCGTGCGGAAAATGTATTTTATTTCTGTCGGATAACGGTTCGGATACGGGTTTAAATATGACGGTACGGGCGGGTGCGGTTTGTCAAAATCAGATCCGTGCAGGACTCTGCTGCCAGGTGCAGCAATAATCACATAAATAATTTTCATATAAATCATATAAATAAAGTATTTATTATTTGATGGGACTTGATTACGTCATTTTTGCGGGCGAGGAGCGGAAATTTCTGCGGTAGGGCGGTATAATCAAAATTCCTCCCATTGGCCAAATTTATATCGTATACTGTTTATACCGTTCAGTACTACATCTGGGGGTCACCTAGGACTGGGTTGAGGAACACTGCCATATAAGCATGTCACGGGGGGGGGCTCACCGTTCTTGAGGAAGATGTAGAGCAGGATGATGCGGATCTTGTCGTAGGTGCTGACGTTGCCATCCAGCAGAATGGGCACGATGGCTCTCATGGGGTCCTTGATCTTCTCACCCTCGGCATCGGTGCCCATGGCTAAATCCTAGAACACCCAATAGGAGGGGAATCAATTGGAGGAGGGGGATTTCAGATCTGTGTCCTGAATCACGTTACATTGTCTCATATTCCCCTCCGCCACTACTTCCTGATATCCTTGGAGAGCGGCTGACTTGCCTGCTCCACACGGCACAGCTTGTCCACGGTGCCCTGGTAGTGCTTCATGCAGTCCTCAGCCAGCTGGAGGTGGGTGGAGTACTGTGGGGGGACACAAGGGGGTTAGCAATGGTCACGCCAGGCCATGACTCAGGGGGCTGTGATCTCATACCTTGACTGAACAACACACTGGTTAACAGCTACAAACATACCACAGTAGTGATTTTCAATTATCTCATTCCTTGCAAAAGAAAAACATCAGATTTCACACATTCTGTAATCTCATATCCACTCTAAACTTCAATTCAGGTTTTCCACATTTATGCAATCGAAGCTTATGGTGCATTACCTTTGCTAATTATAAATTAAGTGATTAGAGACAAGCAATCCTTTGTAATTGCTCGTTATCAGAAACTCAATTTTGCTACAGGATCAGAATTTCTGGGAAATCCAACCACGGGCAGCCATCTCGAGTTTGGCCAGCATTCGCTCCCAAAAGCAGACACAGTGTTAGCCTGTGAAGACTCTACATTTATCCACATTTCACGCTTAATTGCAATTTGAGCATGTAGGTCCGTACACGTAGGCTGCACAACAGCAGAAAAGAAATGAACAGAGATAATTTAGCAGTTTGTCGGCAGTTTTAAATCGTGCTGCGTCGGCAGATCCTGCCGGACGTGACCATCATAAATCGTGCCTGCTTCTTAAATGAACAGAAAGGAGAAGGAGTGATATTTTTTACCAGCCTGCAATATTTCCACATTAAGGTGTCTTGTTTAACTATACCGAACGGAATGGGTCCTGTTAGGCTTTGGGTTTTTGCCCCTCCCTCACCTTGCTCAGCTCCTTCTGGTACTGAGGCATTTTCTTCAGCATCTGGGACAGGTCCCTCATGGTGGTCTGCAGAGCACAGGGAATACAGTGATTTGGGAGGATCCCTAACACAGCTGGAAAGTCAGCAGGGAGGGTAAAGAACCTGCAGCTCGCCTGATGTCCTGATTTGGACCTGGCGTTGACTCACAAGCATAATTCTATGGCTCACGGCTCCTCCGAGAGTGAGAGGGAGGGTGCAGTGTGTGGATGTGCGGACTGTGTGTGCGCAGAGTGTGTACGTGTGCGACAGGAGCTGTACCTTCTCGCCCGTGTTCATCCGTTTGCTGGCAGAGAAGTCCTTCAGGGAGCGAGTGACCTCTCTATGGGACAGAGAGAGAGTGAGAAAGTGTTTGTGAGGGAGAGAGCGACTGCGAGATTAGGAAGACTTTTTATTATCTAAATTCAATTACATTTTTCAGAAGCTGAGAGCAGACAGTCGTGTGACTACTTTATTCATTTACTTATCTACCATCAGCTGATTAATCCAAGTAAATCTTCTGGCTGATCTATCAATATATCGATTGAATGGTTCATTCCAAACAGTCAGCATTTTCTTTCGTTTATCCACAAGACTGTGCTGGAAAATGACCCCTGTGTGACCTCACGTTTTACAGTAAGACATCTGACATTCTGCTGTTTGAGAACCTGCCAGCGTGCAGCCTTTCCGACACCATCGACTGCAATCTAAACCCGCTGCCTGTCGGATGCTGTTGAGCAGTTTCTCACACAGCAGTCCGGTCTTTTTAATTTTCCATCTAAGAAAAGTTCACCTGGTCCAGTGATCTTTTTCTACGCTTGCTGAATGCAGGCTTAGCAACGGAAGCAAACTTCAGAGTCCGTAAATAAAACCTGCGTTTGTACCATAAGACGGCCCCGCAGATACAGGGCACGTGGCTGCCAGTAGGTGGCGTATCAGGCGAGGAGCGGGATGACAGGGAACTGCGGTCAGAGACAGGTGATTGCTACACTATGTGTTTGTGATTTAACACGGATGTCGGCACAGTCGAGGACTCACTGGGACACCTCAGCGATGTGTTTGTGCCGCAGTGACACCCACAGGTCATCGTCCTCGTGGAGCAGCACCTCCTTCTCGCGGGAGTCGCCCATGCCGCTCGTCTCGTACCTGCAGGGACACGGCGGAAGCTGAGTGACCCCGAGAGGCACCAAGGAGACCAAGGGAGCACAGCCTGGGTCAGCGAGCACAGCCTGGGTTAGCGAGCACAGCCTGCCCCTAGGCTTTCCAGTTCCCTTTAAATGGCCCCAGTACTGAGTCAGAAGTCCTAATTGGTTCAATCCATCCATCCAGACTTCTTCCAAAACCGCTTATCCTGTATTGGGTTGTGGGGAGCCTCAGACCAGCATGCACAGGGGCACATGACACACAAAGGGTCCCTCACAGGACACACAAAATCACAAAATAAGGGTAATTTAAAGACGACAATTTACCTATTTGCATGTTGTTTTTTAATTGTAAAAGAAATGGAGCCAAGGGCAGGAGTTAAACTTATAACCCTTGATTTCTGAGGATACGGTTTTGAGAACCAGCCTGCCGATTTTATTAAGTACTTTAACTGAGATCCTAACGGCTGTAGAAGCTGTCCATGCTACAGAATACCTTTGCCTCAGTTAAGGACAGAGGTGGGAATTTCAGGTCCAGAGAGTAAATGTCTAGACCAACTGGCTGGTTGAAACAAGACCTTTATCTGGACTTTTACTCTCTGGACATAAGCTACCCACCTCTGCTTAAGGATGAACAGCTGACAGTTAAACACAGGCAGTGATACTGAATTCAGGCCTGGTGAGGTGGTTCCGACAGCACTGGGTTACTTGTAGACGTCGTTTTCGATGGGCAGCAGGTCGTAGCTCATGGCCTGGAAGGTCAGCTCGTGCAGGACGGGGGACACCGGATCGAAGGCTCGGTCCAGGATGATAAGCTGGGACCGGGCCTTGTCTGGGCCCTGTGGAGAGAGGGGGGGGTAATAGTGCAGTGGGGGCCGTGTCTACATGATCCCTGCTCACCGTCCTTCACGCTCTGGAACCTCATTCTATAGCACGTTATTGATTTTAATTATTTTAACAGTCAGTAATACTATTAACGACTCACCTAACCCGCTCTGCCGCATCACTCTCTGCTCCCATTGTCTGTTAATCGTCTTACACTGTCACTGTCTTCAACATCCATCTTTCTCACTGCACCTCTTTTTTTAACACAAACCCCCCCCCCCTCCTCCTCTCTGCCCCGTCCTGCGCCTCACCTCTCCCATGGTGGGGTCGTCAGCCTTGTATGCGTCCAGTTTGTCCTGGACCAGCTGGGCCAGAGTGGCGTTGTCCTTGTACTCGCTGGGAAGGGACAGACGGAGAGTGACGGGGACAGACAGTGACGGACCAGCCGAAGCCAATGCCTTATTGTCAGGAGAAACATGGAGCTTTTGCTTTTGAGGTACTTTTTTTTTCCTTGACAAATCAGGGTTACCCAGTTGTGGGTTAAGGGTCCCGCTCAGGGGCCTTGGGATTCAAACCAGTCTCCTTCCGATCACAGGCACTGCATGCTATCCCACAGGGCCTCACTGCGATGCGGCTGCAGTGTCATGGGCAGTGTGTACATATGTCCCCCTGTGGCCTCACCCCCGGTATCGCACGGCAGGGTACTCCTTCAGAGTGGCGCACAGCGTGGCCAGCTGCTCGGCCAGCCTCTCCATCACCGGGTTCTTCAGCTGGGTCTTGTGGGGGCTGTAGAAACTCTGGAAGGCATCGGGGTTGTCCAGGGAGTACACCTGAAAGGGTGAGGCACACGGGCCAGTTGGCGGGGGGCCACCTTCACATTGCAGTGTTTATGACGTGTGAAACCCCCCGCCCCCCCCCAACAGGCCTCGCACCTTGACCTGATATTTTAGCACTGAGGGAAAACTTGTATGGAGTTTATGGAGAGACCCAGATATAAACAGCAAGGCAGCCAATCAGTGTCTACACTGGATGACACTGCAATGGCTACTGGCGTGGACCTTAACGTGTTTCTTTATGCTTATTTACTACGTAGGTGTGTGTTCTTTCACTATTACAGGCACACAGCGCTATTTAACATATTTTGAAATGAATAATGACAGCCCTCTCTTCCTTCCTGCCATTGTCTCCCAAACCTTCCTCTCCTTCCCGAGATAATTCGCCCTCTGCCTCTTACTTCCATTCTCTTCCGACAGGACGCAGCGTTGCTGACCCCCTCCCTGGCCCATCTGTCCAAAATCACATGATGCCCTTCTGCTGCACAGAAGGGCCCTTCCCATCATCACCCGGGCCATTTGCTCCATTCCCATTGGCTGCCGGGGAGAATGCTGGCCAATGGCTTGCATTTAAGGGCCAGGGAACAATCTGTCAGAGCCAGCCTTTCCCCGGGAGCAATTCTGTGACTTGTATATTAATTATTCAGGACAGGAGGAGTGCACTCCCTTCCACAGGTAAAAAAAAAAAGGTTCATAAAACCTTTACGAATAAACAAACTGACTACCTTGTGTTAGGACACCATCACTGGTGTTTTTAAAGCCTGATCCTGTCACTGTCTCCCTCCTTTATGTCTTTTCATACTGGTATTCACAGGAGAGCCCACTGGGCATGTGCGCCACTGACATCCCCACTGGATCATGTCGAATATGTAGGTGACCAGACGACGAGCATTTCAGCTATTCTGAGTCTGACTAGCTCCTGCTCACTGTTACATCTCCGAACAAATTAGCCGTTTTCTGCTTTCTCCCCCACTCTGCACAGCTGTTTTAACGATGCAAGTGTTACTGCTGGTGTATCGCGGAGAGGCAGCGTCCTAGCCAGTGACCTTGGTCTGCAACGTCACCAAGCAGGACAGCTGTACCGCCATACAAAGACGGTAACGGCGTATTTTTTTCAAAATTTAATGACTAAATCAGGTCTCCTAGGATCTGTTTTATCTCGTGACAAAATATCACAGTTCGGCTTTGAAGAAAACACTATCATTTACCTACCTGCTACACATACAAAAAAAAAGTAAAAAGACTTAGAAGCCCTTTTCCTCAGTTTCATTGTCAGCCTTGTTACTGTTTTGCTTTTGTAGGTCTCTTCCTTGAGACTCCCAAAAGCGTCCTCACAGACAGCCTGAATAGTCTCCTGCTTAGGGCTGATCTGTCTAGGTCTCTCAAGGTCGACAGTCTCGACACTGGACCATCTGTACTGGAGTTCCCTTCCATTCTCACTCTCCTTTTTCTCCACACAATGCCTTGAAGGAGCTTCTCATCTCCCATTTCCTGTTCTCCAGCTCTTGCTTCCTGAGGAAGTTCTTCTGTGGTGTCACAGAAACTGGGTGCAGGCGTAGGCCGGGGGGGGCTAGGTAGGGGGCCTGAGTAGGGGGCCTGAGTAGGGGGCAGTGGCGCCACCAGCAGACCCTCACCTGCGACTCATAGGGCAAGAAGGCGATGTTGATCTCTGTCAGGGTCTTGATAGTCTTGGCAGCCCGGCTCTTCACCAGTTCATTGAACAGGGGGTCCGGGCAGGCTGGGGGGCAGCAGGGGGGGGGGCGGGATTCAGTGCTAACACATCCAGCTACATACTTTAGTTAATAAAAATTAATGAATTAATTAATAAAGATGGATCCTCCTGTACTCACAGTCGGTGAAGAACACATGGGCTGCTTTGTATTTGGCTGAGTGGGGGTCTTTGAAGTCCCCCATGAGAGTCTGCACAGACTGGAGGAAGACAGGGAGGCGGAGTCAGGGACGTGGTCATGTGGGATATCCCTATGGGAACCACATCTGTGCGTGTTCATCACATCTGTGCGTGTTCCTCACATCTGTGCGTGTTCCAGTGTTTGTTTGGTGTGTGTAGACTTTGTGTGTGGCCAGTATGGTAGCCCAGGACCCCTCCCCGGGTTCCTGAACCATTCCAGAAAAACATCTGGATGAATAAATAGGTAAAACATGTCAGCTGATATGAAAGTGTTGCCTAAGCAACGACGCATAAATACATGTGTGATTGGCATAGAGTCACGCTGAGCTCCGTACCACACTGGGATGTGCGTGTGCGTAGTTACGCTTACCTTCTCAGTGGGGGTGATAAGGTAAATGGTCTCCAGGGTGGGCAGCGGCTCCCGCCTCTTGTTAATGTCTTCAACAACTAGAAGAAAGTGTTGGAAATTGAGGGTCAACGGGTTTGTATGTAACAGGCGGTCATGACGGCGCTGGGCAGGCAGCAGCGTATCCATGGAGACCAGCCCAGCAGCATGGCTGTATGGGAGACATGGGCTGACTCACTGGTGATGCCCTCGGTCATGATGTCTGTCATCTTGCAGCAGGACGACAGCATCCTCATGCTGAGCTGGTCCACCACTAGGGCCTGGAAGATGGATGGGAGAGAAAGAAACAGGTCAGGGAGACAGAGAGGAAGAGAGGAAGATGGGGAGAGGAGGAATAGAGATGAGAGAGACAGGTCAGGGAGACAGGATTAGAGATCAGAGAGAGGGAGATAGGAAAACTGAGTGAGAGGAGGATTAGAGATGACAGAAATAAAATTATAAAGGTAGGTCAGATAATGTGAAGATGAAGGAATCCAGGTAATACAGGATAGATGTTAGGATAGATGTCAGTAGGGGACTGTAAGAAATATGTCAAATGCTTTGGACAGATGAGCAGGAAGGCAGTGGGGTAAAAATGCAAAAAGAGGGTCAGTGTGAGAGTGAGAATAATAAAAAAATATGAGAGATGGGAAAGACGGGGCAGATCTGAGATGGAAGAAGGCGTAGGTAAGACCACAAGATACATGGTGAACAGGGATTGGATAAACACGGAGAGAGGGATGGGTGGTGTCCGGGTGGATAGGGGACGAGGGGGAGGGAGAGCGGAGTGGCAGGTGAGCAGACTGGGTTTGGCGCCTGGGCGCTTTTAATTCAGCTGTGGTGCCACAGAAGGACTTAAAATAAGATATGATCTCAGACAGCAGAAAATGACTGTTCCAGGGGTACGTGGGCACTTACAGGAAATATGGATAAAATGAACCCAGATTAAAAATAAATGATAAAAATAAAAGCAACCACTAACAGTTATGCAGGCAACATATCACTCAGGGGAGGGAAATTAAATCACAACGCGAGTTTATACATAGGAAAAAAGGCTTGATCCTGTAATTAAAAACAACAATGCAAGACGGGTCTGAAACACCGTAACTGAAGGTGACTCTCTCAGCCTTGATTTATGACTGCAGGTTAAGCAATACTCGACGTCACTGATGTTCACAAACACGCACACTTACAAACACCCCCCCACACCAACCGACCGCTGGGTTTCAGAAGGTCAGCAAACTGAAGAAACCTTGCAATGGCACAGTACGGCTTGAAAATGAGCTTCAAACAAAAAAGCAACATGGATTCCATATAGTCTTGGTCAAGGTTATCATCAAGAATGGGATCATTTTCTGCAACAATTGAAAATAGCGTTACTTTATTTGGACTTCTTAAAAGCACTGGACGATTACTCTCAATGTCCTCTCCAGGGTCCCTTGGAATTTTTGGTTAACTAGCATGTTATCTATGGGCTTGTACTGTATGTGCTTTTCAGATACAGCATCTCTCCCATTAAAAAGTTGTGAAACAGAATAATGTGAGTTAGGAGGGATGGAATGAAAGTACAAGTATTGGTTTCGATTCTGAATGTTACGGGAGCATCAGCATTACATATTTCTGCTAACATTGTTAGGAACCCCCCCCCCTCCAGGTGTTACAATAAGGACTATCTGATCACCAACAGCGGACTGCCAGGACAACTGAATCAAGCTCCTCACCTTCCATTCGCCCTTCTTCTTGACCTTCTTTATGACGTCATTCATTATCTCTGTGAAAGAGAAGGAGACAGGTGAGTGGAGCGGTCAGCGGGGCAGTCTGGACTCACGGCGGTGCATCTGCTCCATCGAGTGACACGACAGCTGTGTTCGTGATGGCCTGTCCGCGTGCAGATGGATACCATGCAGTCCTGGTCTCCAAAAATTAGCCAGATCATCTGTTTAAGGTCACAGGGATTCAGAGCCTGTCCCTCATATCACAGTGTAGTGCTTTTGAAGCCTGTATTAAGACTCAGACCGAGAACGTCACATGACCACCAGCAAGGGTCCTATGAGCAATACGCTGCCCCTCCTGGACTATGCTACCATGCATCTTTATGTTAAGCGCCACGTCAATGGACGTCCTAATGAGGTCAGATACAGGTAAACCCATAGATTAGCTTCTCATCTGCCACTTCTGACACTAATACAGTGTTTTGACCATGTTTTACCCGGTTTCTAATGGTCTCCTCTGCAAAGGGATACAACTCGTAAAATAAATTCACTGTATTCAGTCACAAACTAAAGGACCTGATGATAGTATAAATGGAGGCATGACATAAATCATGTGACCGCCTTTTATTTCAACAGGAGGAGTCTGCCATTGCAGTATCGCAGAAGTTAAGGCAGCACTTGATATCTTGGCCTTTCTGTTTCTTCTCCATGTCCTGGCAGTATGTCACGTCCATGTTGGGATCGCAGCGCTGGTATCCCACACTAACTCCGCGCGGTGAAAGCGACGAGGCGGCGGGCAGGGATGCGTCAGCGCCTGATGGCGAGCGGCTTGCCAGTGCCCCCCCGCCGATGCCCGCAGCCTGTCTGATGGGAGTTGGCTGCCCCTCCACAGGTAGGCGTACCTCAGATCGACACTTCGCATAGGATGATGGACGGACCCTTACTACAATCTGCCGAACCTTTGCCCATCTGTGATGTCACCACTGCGTACCGTGTGCCTCAGTAACAGGCTCCAGGTGTTCAGTAGTTAAAAGTGTTCAGTTCCATTCCAATTCCCATTACATCATTCTTCTTTAGCACTGCCATTCCTATAAAATATGATTACCTCGCTTCCTGTTTATGTGTTTTATAAAATGGCATCATGTCTTGCTTTGTTGTAAAATGCTGGTTTCCGGCACGCAGAACACCCACCAGATCTCTAAAAGTAAAGCTAATTATCAAAGCAAAGCGGGCAGGCTTTAAAAGCCTGTAAATACGCTGGTATGGCGGCGTTTGAACGCTGCCAGCACTGGATCTTGCAGCTAAATGTGAGATGGGGCATATGGCAATCGCCATGAACGCATCTGTGTCCGCTGTCAGATAGGGAGCCAATGTGTTTCAGGAAATCCAGCAGTTACATAAATACGACGTTAACCATTAGTCCTGTTCTATGATTACAGGCAGGGCCCAGGAGGGGACCATCCCAGAACTTTAGCTACCTTCATGTGCTGGTCTTCTCAAAGCTGGCGGAGAACGTTCTTACTGCAACATTAATGGAACATTATTTCCATATTTTACATTTTAACAAAGGTTCTGTCAATATCAGCATGATAATATTATTACCAGAACAGCCTTTTAATGCAATCAATGTTGAAAATGAACGTTTTATAATAAAATACTGTTCTGTGAAAGTGCTGTACATACATAGCACAAGCATGCTGTCAGCCCCATGCCGCGAGCTCTGATGTACAGCGACAGTCTTACCTGCTGCTCTACCACGGCCTGCATTTGCTTTATATTATTACTCTTACTTACATAGGATAATATTCTGGGAACAGCAGGAAAACTGGACACTTTGAACATTTCCATACCTTAATTGTAACATTTAATAAACGTTCCAAGTACGAACAATTATTAGCTGAGTGCTCCCCCCCTTCCCCCAGTTTCAGTTGCTATGTGTGTAAGCAGTAGCAGATGTCGTTGGCATTCATATACAGGAGGGATTATCATCTCAGTCGAGACTGTATGGTTAAAATTTGTACTTTGACATACACAGAGATGAAAATAAGGAAAATCAAGAGTTTGTACTTGTCCTGTATTTTTGTATAAAAAACCTGCTCTTATTGTTTCAGAACAAAGAAAGCATTATTAAATGGAGCAGAAAGGCAGGAAGGTCTAGTGCTACAAGAGAAACCCTTCCTGGGTCAAAGGTCGACATCGGAAGGGGAGATTTGCATAACCGGCAGTTTGTGTCGCGGCCTGGATGCAGGGTGACGGCTGTTGGAATATGCCTCCCGACTGGTCGTGTGTGCAAAGCGACGCCGTCTCGACGCTGTCATCCCACGCTGAGTGAGAAGGAAGCACTCCCGATGAGCCGGGAGGACACGAGGAGAGACGCCCGTCGGCGTGGCTCCGTCGACTTTGTGCTTCGATCACTTTTAATTTAGTTGAAGCCGGGTGTCTGCAGCCGCAGAGCCAGAAACGGCGCTCGGCGGTGACAGTCCCCGTCAGCCTTCCCGCCGGCTCCGTCAACACGGCACAAGAGCTTTGCCTGCATATCCATGCATTTTTTTGTGAGGAAACCCCACAGGTGACACTAATTAGGAAGAGTTAGATCCACAGCCCTCATATTCTCTGACAGGAACTCTTAACTACAAGACGGCACCATGACATGACCATGGAGGGTGAAATTTTTTTTCTGTATAAAGCGCCTGGTTAGCCCCAGTCTGACAGCCTTAACCTGAGACCTGGGCTGGCGTGACATGTGACCTGGGAGAGATCCAATCAGAATCCACCCTGTAGGATACGAAAGCTGCAGATACGGGGTGTTTCTCAATATGCGTACTTGACCATTCTTGTTCCCGTTTTACATCACCTTCCATTGGCGAAGACCAGTTCCAATGCTCAAGAACAGAAGTACAGAGGATGGTAAAAATCTCCAAATGTTGTTCTAGCCCCCCCCCCCCCAAATATCACAGATACTTTGGTTGCATTCTCGCCAAACGAAAACAATCTCATAATTCACTGCATCTGAAGTTTGTTCTTGGGAGGCAGGTTAGCAAGACCAGTCTTGCCAAGACCGCAAGTCCAATCGCTGCGTTCTAAGTATTGAGAAACACCCCTGTTCCCGCGGTGATGAAGGCGTTCCAAGGCACTCGCACACGATTTTCATTTACTTCCCCGCCCACATAAGTTCAGAGCATAAACAAAAATATCACACCTCCCACCTGCAACCAACATAACTGTTACCCAACGCCGCTGCCCCCTGCTGGTCAATACCTCCCTGACTGCTGTGTCTGTCTTGACTTCCAAGGTCCTATTATGAGCGAATAATTACAAGAGCTGGTTTATACACTTTTGACATGATGAAGATATCTAGTCAGCGATGCATTATGACGCTGGATAGAAGCCAAAACCAAATAATTTTTGAAGCGTCACCTATGGATATGAATCTATCATTCTGAACACCAATACAAATATCTTCTGTATATAGAAATTCTACAGTACAGGGGTTTCATATTTTTTATAATTGTAAGGGTCATCATATGTATAAAACACATGAAACAATATGGAAAAATATATTACACGTCTCCATTTTAACCCGTTTTAAACTGACTGTGACTGTCAGTTTGTGCAAAGTGCACAGTTTGGCTCTTGGGTTTCTCGTGCGGTGAAAACTTGCAGACGACTTTTCCTCCGTACTGATGCGTATTTATCAAGCAAACTGTCCAGTAGGGGCCTACCCAGCAAGGGTCAGCGGCAGACATGCAGAAAGTGATTTGTGTGGGGGAGGGATGGTGCAATGAAAGCTGAGAGATGTCATCACTGCGCTCACAACCCCAGCAAACAGGCTTAGCAAACCCATGGACATGTCGCTACAGGCCACGCCCACCAGCTGTTTCTGAGGTCATCTAAAGCAAATGGTCCCTCGGTAACTGTGGACAGAGAACTTTAGATCTGGGCTGTCCAACCTTTCTTAAGGAAGGGAAACCAAAATGAAAGCAGACCACAGCTATAGGAGTCCCTTACCATTAATGTGTGACCACATAATTAGCTAAAACCTGTGGACAAGGGGGGACCTTATATTTCATTCTCTGGGGCGGAGTCCTCTAATATTTTTTGTGACATATGAACTGGGTGTTGATACTAACATTTCATAAATTTAAGGGATGCTTTTCCGGACCCATCAAGGGGACGTGAACAGGGCTGGACTGGGATGAAAAATCAGCCCTAGACTTTGGTGGATCCCCATGAAACGTCCATCAGCCCGCTGGGAAAATGTCCGGTTTGCCAGATGGCTGTCCAGCCCTGGCTTAAAGTCCCTGAGTAGATGTCCCTCAGTCTGACTTCTCAAACAGCCCACCGTAATCAGACACGACTCCCCGAGTGCGTAGCGTAGTATCCTGTGTGCCTCAGTGACTCACGCCTCACTCAGGAAATCACGCATATTCGTCGGTGCAATCTCTGATGTGCGTGACAGTTGTTTTGGGTGAAACCGTCAACCCGGGTTCTTGGTGCTGGAGAGATACTGTAAGTTTTAGACGCATTGAGACTTGTCATCTTCTGAAGAAAAACAAACGGCTCAGCAAAGCTCAGGCGGGGGCGTGAGTATTATGGCTGGTGTGCTACGCGCCGTGATGTCAGTTATGCAGCCTGACACTGACCGCCATTCAAAGTCTGTTTTAAGTACGCTTACCGATAGTGTCTAAGAGAGAAATGCTGTTAGTGTACATGTGCCCCTAATGAGTATTTTGGCGTCCTCACAAGGCCGCATGCTGGTAAGCCTTGCAACACAGCATCCAAACGTCTGTTCACTCCAGAGGTGCGAATGTTTCAGCATCGAGGCAGTGAACTCTGTACCCTGTCCTCTCCCTGGGCCTGGCTGCTTCACCAAACGAGCTACCATTAAGCGCTAAGTCTACCGGACCTCATAACCCCACTGCGTGTTTGTCATGGTGGTGAAGGCTCCGTTGGGGCACTTGACATTGGATTGAACTCTCTGAAAAAAGCTAGAAATTTACGCATTCTGTCCGCATTACCAAATTCCCATTTTTCCTCCTTCCACAGGTTGATTGAGGGG